GGGTCTCAATGCTGTGAGTGTGGAAAACAAATACCCCCTCCCCCTTCTCAAAGACTTATTAATCCATCTGGCTAAGGGGAGTGTCTTCACTAAATTAGACCTGAGAGAGGCATATTACCGGGTGAGAATAAAGGAGGGAGACGAGTGGAAAACTGCCTTCAACTGTCCTATGGGGAGCTACCAATTCAAAGTCATGCTATTTGGACTACTGGGGGCCCCAGCTGTATTTATGCAGTTGATTAATGAGGTCCTACATGATCACTTGTACAAAGGAGTTCTGGTGTATCTTGATGACATCCTGATATGCAGCACGAATATGACTGATCACATAAAACTGGTGAGAGAAGTGTTAAAGAAATTATTGAATGCCAAGCTTTATGCCAAATTGTCAAAATGTGAATTTCACCACACCCGATTAGATTATCTTGGCTACAGAATTTCCAACGACGACATTGAAATGGATCCAGCCAAAGTGAAAACTATAATTGAGTGGCAACCCCCAAAGACTCGCAAACAGCTTCAGAGTTTTTTAGGGTTTGCCAACTTCTATCGTCAATTCATCCCCTCCTTTGCCGAAATTGCCCTACCCCTTACAGAACTACTCAAAACAGGCAAAGGAGGAGGAAAACCACGACCGGGCCAGCCACTTACATGGACTATGAGCTGTCAAACAGCTTTTGAGAATTTAAAAAGACTATTTGCTGCTGAACCGGTCCTAAAGCACCCCTGCCCAGGGGAACCCTTTGCAATCCAAGCTGATGCCAGCAACGTGGCAGTCGGAGCTGTATTACTGCAGAAGAACAAAAGTGGAGTTCTACAACCCTGTGCCTACACTTCTAAAAAATTTACTGAAAGCGAGAGGAGATGGGCAGTCTGGAAGAAGGAGGCCTTCACAATTAGGTGGGGACTGTTAAACTGGCGACACTATCTAGAAGGGAGCAAGGTGCCATTTGAAGTATGGACAGATCATAAAAACCTAGAGGCACTGAAAACTCCCTGCAAATTGTCCCCAAAGCAAGTACGGTGGGCACAGTACATACCAGGAAGAAAAAACTTCCTAGCTGATGCACTATTGAGATTGCCCCAATACAAAAGCAAACGTGAAGAGGTTAATGAAGCAATTATCTCCTATCCACAAACTGCCGCTCAGCTGACGCCTAGCAGGGTCCCAAATCCTGATGTCCCTGGGGCAAAGAAAATAAAACAAGAGTTCCTCACCAATCAATGGTTCAAAGATAATCAAACCTCCCTGACATGCAGGGATGGTTTGGCTTACAAGGGAGGGAAGCTGTATTTGCCTGAAGCCCTCCGTCTTAATGCTCTCAAACACAGCCACGATGTAAAACAGGCTGGACATTTTGGATATCTAAAAACTCTACATCTCACCCGCCGGCAATTTTGGTGGACGGGGCTGAAGGGATGTGGAAAACTATGTAAAGAGTTGTACCGTATGTGCCACAATGAACAGAATCCCAGGGAAAACCCCTGGGTTACTGCAGCCGGTGGCAGACCCTTCTCAGCCCTGGGAAGAAATAGCTATGGACTTTATCGTAGACTTACCTGAAAGCAGAGGAAATACTGTCATCTAGACTATGATAGACCTGTTTTCGAAGCAGGCTCATTTCATCGCCTGCAAAGGACTCCCATCTGCCCAATGACTGACTAAATTGTTCCTGAAACATATCTACCGGCTGCATGGGGCCCCTAAACGAATAATTTCGGATAGGGTGGTGCAGTTCACAGTGAAGTTTTGGAGGAGTTTCCTTAAATTAATTGGATCATCTCAAGGCTTATCATCTGCTTTTCATCCGTCCACCAATGGAGCTATAGAATCTGCTAACAAAATGGTGGAGCAATATCTCAGATGCTACGTTTCCTACCAACAGACAAACCTCCTCCCTTTTGCAGAGGTGGCGTACAATAATTCTGTGCACAGCAGCACCGGCTACACACCTTTCAGAGTAGCCACAGGAAAAGAGTTTGGTCCAATACCTGAATACCCCCAGGTGCCAACCGCTTCCCAGACACTTGACCAATCGGTGAGGGGGTGGGAAGAAGTTTGGAGAAACACAAAAACTGCTTTAAAAAAGACTTTTGAAACCTATAAAAAGCAGGCTGATAAAAAGAGGGCTCCCCAAAGAACATTCCAAGTTGGGAAAAAGGTTTATCTCTCGACCAAATATTTACGCCTCAAATTACCCAGTAAGAAGTTAGGACGGAAATTCTTGGGGCCTTTTCCTATCATAAAGATCATCAATCCGGTCACCGTAAAACTTAAACTCCGTAGGCTGTCTTCCAGAGTAGCTTGTTAAAACCTTATTGGGGCTCCACTTTAAGACCTCCCCCGAAGAAGGCACCTGGGCCCCTCATAGTTGTGGGACAGACCCACTATGAAATGAAACGTATTCTTGACTCTAGAATTTTTAAAGGGAAATTGCAGTACCTAGTACAATGGAAGGGATACCCATTGTCTGAAGCCACCTGGGTGAAATCCAGTGAGGTGAAAGCTGACAGGCTCGTCAAAAGGTTTCATGCGAAATACCCCAACAAACCGAAAACTAGTCATTAACATATGCTTTTGTTTACATTACAGGATCTATCCTTTTTGTAAGGGGGGGCGGATGTCAACGCTGTTCAATAGGATATTATTGCTTTGACAAGATATTCAGAACTGTCTGGTATTTTTAGAGTTAATTCAGATGACATAGAAAGGGAGGAGATTTATAAGGAAAGTGCGGGATAAGGAACCAAAGTGAATCTTTGCCCTCCGGGCTAATTGGAAGATGTGACTTATGACTGCAAAATAAGGGAGGGGTTTAGCAAGAAAAGTCAGACAGAAGCAAGAGAAATTCAGATTCTGGCATCCATTCAATATGTGCGACAATGTGTCCATGATTAAAGAGTTTTTCAGAATAAATATGACTGGAATTTCCTTGAAGTGTTCCATTAGTCGGAACTTTGACAGTAATTTTATGGGACTTTGGAGGAGTGGTCTTTCCTGTGATAGCACCTGCCCTTTGGAATAATCTCCTGACATATACTGTAGCTGGCCCCATGCAGGCCTTTAAAAAGGTAGTGAAAACAAGGCTTTTTTCCTCTGGCATTTAGATCAGGATGATAAATATCTCTGTTTGCAACGGACCTAATAAATGTTGTGCCCAATTGCCAAATATTTGGTTTTAAATGGTATTATTTACTTTGGTTTTAGTTTCTTTGTTCTTTGGTCCACTATGTACCATCTAGAACAGGGGTCTTCAAACTTGGCCCTTTTATGACTTGTGGACTTCAACTCCCAGAATTCCTCAGCCAGCGTGCTGAGAAATAATAATAATAATAATAATAAAGTTGGAAGGGACCTTGGAGGTCATCTAGTCCAACCCCCTGCTCAGGCAGGAAACCCTATACCATTTCAGACAAATGGCTGTCCAGTCTCTTCTTAAAAACTTCCAGTGTTGGAGGATTCACCGCTTCTGGAGGCAGGTTGTTCCACTGGTTAATTGTTCTAACTGTCAGGAAGTTTCTCCTTAGTTCTAGGTTGCTTCTCTCCTTGATCAGTTTCCATCCGTTGCTTCTTGTCCTGCCTTCAGGCGCCTTGGAAAATAGCTTGACTCCCTCTTCTTTGTGGCAGCCCCTGAGATATTGGAATATTGCTATCATGTCCCCCCTCGTCCTTCTCTTCATTAAACTAGACATACCCAATTCCAGCAGCCTTTCCTTATATGCTTTAGCCTCCAGTCCCCTAATCATCTTTGTTGCTCTTCTCTGTACTCTCTCTAGAGTCTCAACATCTTTTTTACATCGTGGTGACCAAAACTGGATGCACTATTCCAAGTGTGGCCTTACCAAGGCATTGTAAAGTGGTATTAATACTTCACGTGATCTTGATTCTATCCCTCTGTTAATGCAGCCCAGCACTGTGTTGGCCTTTTTGGCAGCTGCAACACACTGCTGGCTCATATTTAAGTGATTGTCTACTAGGACTCCGAGGTCCCTCTCACAGTTACTACTATTGAGCAAGGTACCCCCTATACTATACGTGTACATTTGGTTTTTCTTGCCTAAATGTAGAACCTTACTTTTTTCACCATTGAATTTCATTTTGTTAGATAGCGCCCAGTGTTCAAGTCTGTCCCGATCCTCCTGTATCCTAAGCCTGTCTTCTGGAGTGTTGGCTATTCCTGCCAGCTTGGTGTCGTCTGCAAATTTGATGATTTCCCCATCTATCCCCTTGTCCAAATCGTTGATGAAGATGTTGAAGAGTACTGGGCCCAGAACAGAGCCCTTCCCTCCATGTAGATGTGGTTCCATTGAGGACCACATGCTGAGTACGGCCAGTCAGCCAGCTACGGATCCATCTGGTGGTGATGCTGTCTAACCCACATTTTTCTATCTTATCAAGTAGTAGGTTGTGATCTACTTTATCAAATGCCTTACTGAAGTCCAAGTAAATTATATCCACAGCATTCCTCTGAACCACTAATTTTGTCACTTGGTCAAAGAATGCAATAAGATTTGTCCGGCATGATCTGTTTTTGACAAACCCATGTTGGCTTTTAGTAATGACTTTGTTTGCCTCTAGGTGTTTGCTGATTTGTTGTTTGATTATCTTTTCCAGAATCTTCCCAGGTATCGCGGTCAGGCTGATAGGTCTGTAATTTCCTGGGTCCATTTTTTTCCTTTTTTGAAGATGGGAGTTGAAGTCCACAAGTCATAAAAGGGCCATGTTTGAAGACCCCTGATCTAGAATCATGTTGTTCAAGTTGGGTAGCTATACAAAAGCTTTAAATGAATCAGTCAGTCAATGTATTCCTTCAAGGACAGAAGATTGAGAATATAAATAAGCATTCTAGATGCATTTCCCCCCCACAAAGTAGGAAGAGATAAATAATGTATTTGGAATGATCCTGGGGTCAAAATGATACCTGCCTACAGGACTGATGTGGTGCACTTACTAAAAATAACTACTGAGTTTTCTCTTAAACTTCATTTTTATATTGCAGAAAAAACCTGTGAAGGTCATGCTTTTAGAAGAAGCTGTTAGAGTAATTCAGATAGCTGAGCGAGCTCGACAGGGCCGACTCAGGGCTACATTCATGAAGCAAATCTTTCTTGAAGAAAAAAGAGAACGATTAGCCAGGCTTCAGGGTACAAAAGGTCCAGATGTTGAAACTGCTGCAATGTGCATTCAAAGGGTAAAACATATATACTTCTTTGAAATATGTTCCATTGAAAAAAGTGGCTTTATATTCAATTTCTTTTGAATGTTCTATCTATGGAAAATGTTCACATCTGTTTTTATATTATTGTTCACTTTTGTTTAATTAAAGAAAAGGGAAAAAATAAAACAACAAATATATATTCTCATACATATATGTATAAAATGATTGTAAAGGTTGATTGTATTTCATTTTAATAATTGATACATATTTTAAGCAGTTTGTTCTTAAGTTGTAATGTCAGGTCTTTAATCCTCTAAGTCAGTGGTCCCCAACCTTTTTGGCTGCATGGACCGGCGGCGTGGAGGAGGGGACGGGTTTGCACTCTCAACCTAATCCAGTTTATGTGCAAATGAAGCTTCATGCACTCACTCGCCACTTGCACAGCACTGTTCCAACAGGCCGCGGACTGAGAGTTGGGGATCTTTGCTCTAAATAATTAGAAAATTTAACTTATCTTTCCCATACTGAAGGATTATTAGCAATAAAAAAGTACCAAGCATCCATTTCAAGAGTCTAAGTGACATTTTCTATATAACAGATAAGTAGTTCAAAAGTAGTTCCCCGGGGGGGGGGGAATAAATAATAGTTTTAATGAAGCATTATTCTCACTGCACAGATATGCAGTTATTCACTGCAACACAGTGAATTACACATTCCTTTTCTACTTCTTGAATATACACCCAAAATTTAGTACCTCAAAATATATGCATAATTCAAGATTCAGGAAACCAAAATTGACAAATGTACAGTTGTGTTGTTTTCAGAGCTATCTTCAGAAATGAAAACCCCATACAAATTAATAGAGTAATATTCTGAGTTTTTTCCAAAAATATTTATGAGAATTCCACACAAAATATAAACTAAACTGGAAATTACATTAATTTTAGAGTGCTTATTATTCCTCTCAAAAAGTAACTTATTATTACTGTTTGTTGCACAGTCAGCCAGATGTTTAAACTGAATTTGACATTTTTATCAACCTATCGAGTCCTTCCCAAGAACCTGGAATAGGCAGATGTTGATGTTTGATAGTGTTAAAGGTATCATCGCAGGATATAAACTGTTCTGAGTAAAGTTGCCTTTTGCAGTTGACCAATGGTAACTTTGTCAATGCCAATGGTGTTCATATGGTGCTCCAGTTGTTTTGGGCCAAGGGATACTATTACTATTGGTACTACCTTTGCTTTCTTTTTCTATTTGCAAATCTTTGTATTTTGTTATCTTCTCCAGTTCTTTCTCTTCTGTTCTGCTGTCTCCAGGTACTGCCATGTCCACTATCCAGACTTTTTTTTATCTTTCTTATTGACAGTTGTTAAGTCTGGAATGTTATGTGGCAGGTGCCTGTCAATTTGAATTCTAAAATCTCAGAGCACTTTAGCTTCTTCTTGGACTGGTCATTTTGTATGACCAGTCCAGTTCTTGCTTGCAGGCAAATGGTATTTCTTGTAGATCTTCTAATGCACCATTGTTGCTAGTTTGTCATGCCATTGTTTGTAGTCAGTTTGTGCGATCTTCTTCTAGCAGCTGACCAGGTAAATAACTGTTTCTTCAGCCTCTTCTTCAGAGGCAGCACTTGCTGTCTGTTGCTATCTTCTGTTCTGTCCCAGCCTATGTACGTCCTTATTATTTCACAAAGACAACCCCTCTTTTAACAGTAGACTGGAAAATAAACTCTTTTTATTTGAGTTACAGACCTGATAATTGTCCCAGAAAACCAAAGCAACAGAACGCTTTTCCAATGGAGACCTTGTCCAAAAGCAAAAACGGAGCACGGGTCAAACAGGAAATAACTCGCAGACAAAATAAACAGACCATGATCTCTTGATTCTGAGGTTCTCCAGCAACCAGCCCTGCCCACATATTCCCTTTTTGTTACGCAGCCCCCAAGGCATGGCTTCTCACTGCTTTCTCCTCTTCCCCTGGAGTCGCCCCACTGCCTCCCTCTGTCCTACTCGTGTAACCTGCCTACGTTTACGAGCGTCTTTGAGGACTTCCAGCTGTGCTTCCTCTGAGTCCAACTCAGCTTCCCAGCACAGCTGGCTCTCAGCTCAATCACGAGTGGAAGGACCAGCCTCCTCATCCGTCTGTAAATCCTGCAGCTCATCAGAGCCTCCCTCCGACTCTGATGGCTCTCCAGGCCCCTCCTCCTCCTCCTCCTCTGATTCCCCAGATTCAACTACTGGGATCGCAGGCTGGCACGGAATCACAACATCTTCTCAGTCCTGAGTTTGTGTGCATTTGTTTTTACAGCCTGGTGTTGTGCAGCCAGAATTAGCCACTCTGTCTCTTCCTTCAACTTTCCTGCTCTTAATCATTGCCAGGTCTTGTTATTATCTATTTTCCCTGCTATTTTTTTTAATGTACTGGTCATGTAATGGTTTGTCTTTCCATCCCTTTTTTTCTGTTCTGCATTTGGTCTTTCTTGTAAGCCAGTTTGGTCTCTCCAGTACTCAGTAGGCCTTCTTGGTTTACTAGCTTCAATTTATCTTCTTCACTATCCTTCAGATATTCTTCCAAGCCCTTTTTTCTTCTCCAGCACTTGAAACACTCCATACCTACCTATTTTCCTTGGTAAGTAGTCTATCAACATCGCTGCATAGATGAAGGGCATGATTCATTGTCATTATTTTTCTAGTCTTTCTATCTTGGATTTTTAGTTCTGCTTGAGTCCAGCCCGCTATTTCAGCTGTATATCTTATGACTGGAATTGCCCAAGTGTTAATAGCCTTGGTGATGTTGCCTCTGCTGAGTTTGGACTTCTTCACTCTCTGATGTACTCACTTCTAATCTTTTTCTTAACTTCAATATGCTTGATGTTGTCACCTTGAAAGATGCCCAGGTATTTGTAGTGATTGCCTTCATCCAGACTCTGGATTTCCATAGGGCATCTTGATTCCTTCAATTATAAGTTTTAGAAATGTCACATCAAATAAAAATACTTAATAAATTCATTTTATCTATAACTACAACAATTATCTAGTATAGAAAAGAATAAATATCTGAATTAGACCAAATAATATAATATCAAATAGATTAATCAAGTGCATCAGAGCCAGAATCAAAGGGTGAAAATCAGAAATAAACCATAGTGATATCCTCAGCATATAATGCCAATGAAATTAATTTCTATATTTATCATATTTAATATATAAATAATTTTGTAGATTATATGTATTTGTGTTTGTGTTTAAATATGTGTGAATTTATAAATAATTTGTTAATAATAACAGTTATAATCTATCTTGCTTTATATAGATATATTCAGGAAAGCTGTATGTTTTTAACTATTTTTAGTGAGAGCTGTCCAGAAGAAAACTTGGGTAGCTTTCTTCCACCTATTCCATCCTATCCAAGGCTGTAAAAAACATGTTTGGAAGAATTCCTTCTTGCCCCCAAGCAAGGGGACTGTAATTTTCTGTTCTTTGTAATTCATTGAGTTGAATTATAAGGAGCTAAAAACAATGATTCATATATTCATCAATTATAAAGAATGCCATAGGAGACATTTGTTACTCTGAGATGTCCTCAGATCATATTTACTATTTTATACAAATAAGTTTGAGAAAAAGAGTTGCAGTTAAGTTAATTACAAGCTAAGGGTGAAATTTTTCAGAGTAATTTGAGTCATGCCATAAAAGGCTTGTAATTAATTTAAATGAATTTAGGAAAAAATGTCCAGTAGTACTCTATATCCATTAAGGGAGCCAATAATCAGAACAAAAGTTCAAACAATATCTTCAATATGATTGAATATGAAAATACTTTTGAAAAAATGTTTAAGAATTCAAATAATTCAATTTATATTTCTATAAATTCTTTTATTATTCTCTTTTTTAATTCAGTATATTATAGTTTAAAGAAAAAGGAAGTGGTTCTGAACTGATGTTCTTTACACATTATCTTATATATCATGTCTATAAAATTGTATGAAAGGAAATAGAAATGCTATAATATGAATGGAATAAAAATGTCAGATGTCAACAGAATCAACTGAGGATAGCTTCCAAATTATTTTATACGATATACTGAGAAGGAAAGATGGATATTAGTCCTATTCTGTTTATATAATTTATACAATCCATTTTTCATTTCTTGTTTATTTTTTCCCTTGTTGCAGTAAAAGAAACTGTAAGAAGGGCAATTAAATACCTTTTGGTTTTACAATACAGATTTGGCGTGGACACACCCAGTGGAAGAAAACTTTGAAAATTAGAGAAGAAGAAATGGTATTTCTAGGCATGGTAAATCTTTAACTATCTTTTTCTTTGAGTAGTAATTAAATTTTGATTAATATAAAATGAGAGTTGCAAAAGTATACTATACAATACAGTTGTTAAGAGCAAATCTTTATGCAAAAAACCAACATGTTGATACTGGAAATTTATGCATCTGAATCAATTAAGAGTAGGAGCCAGAAAATAGAGTGGCAGTTATGGACCTGGCAAGGTCCTTGGCCTATCTGGCTTTTAAAAAAAATAAAAATAAAAACTGACATATCAAGTGTCCTTATTTTATAATAAATCATCTCCATGTGAATCCACATAGACTTCCTTAAAAGTCATAAATGTTGGCTGACTTAATGCTTTATTTCAAATGTGCCCAGCCACTTAGGAAAAAAAACCCCAGAATGATCTTGTGGTGAAGGTACTGGACAATGAGTAGGAAGACCCAAACTCTTGTGTACTCTTAGCTTCAGGGACTCACTTTGTGACACTGAGACAATTGTACTTTCTCAGCCAAATCTACTTTACAGGGATATTGTTGTGAGGGAAACCAGGAGGAGAAAATATAATGTAGGCTACCTTCAACAAAACATAGAATATTAACCATATAAATAAATACACAGACAAATGTAGTAGGGCATCTATATGGGAATTAGGGTAAGAAGAAGCAACATTACCTGTTTGCCTTCTGCTAAGCAGATGTTGCATCTACCAGGGCAACCGTTTTATGAAAAAGTCCATGGCATGCTGTCAAAATTTTAAATAATGCCCTGAACCCAGAATAAAAATACAAGAGGATGACAGGAGATGGATTTAAAAGACCTATTGCTTCTACTATTAATAGGGAGAGCAGAAGATGGGCAAATGTATATAAATATCTTCTATCAGCAAACAGGAGTAGTTTCTGTGCGTGATGTTTGATTTTTCATCTTCAGCCCTAGAAAGTGTGACAATCTTAAATGAAGGAATATAATAATCAGCATTGCTTTAAGTCTCTGTTAGTTACCTAATCTTAGACGCTATAGAACCATAAACAAAAGAGCAGTGGAGTTGCATTAGATATAAGAAATAACTACACCGCTATAGAATGCAAAAATGAAAACCTTCTTCAATGCATTTGGGTTAATATAAAAGGAAAAAAGAGTAATATTGCCACAGACCACCAAAGTACAGGAAATCAATAAAATTTTGCTAATCAGCTAGCTTAAGGTGTGCAGGAAGAACACTACTATAGTAATAAGGACTTTAATTACCCTGCCATCAACTGGGAGACAATCTGCATCAAGTGGGAGATCAAAGATGTTCTGATGATCTAGCGGACACCTTTATCATCCAAAATGTAGAGGAGGAAACTAGAGGGTTAGCTGTACTTCATTTAATTCTTACTAATAAGGATAAAACAATAGAAGATGTTGAAGTTGCGGGAACTTTGGGAGACAGTGACCATGTTATACTGGAATTTAACATAATGCAGACATAAGCAATAGAACAAAGTCAAAGTAGTATCTTAGACTTTAAGAGAGTTGATTTCAACAAACTTAGAGCTTGGGAAGGATTCCATGGATTAAAATCTTAAAAGGGAAAGCAATTCAAGAAGCTTGGGAAACTCGGAAACTCTGAAAAATGAAACTATAAATGCGCAATCTAGGTTACCGCTGGGGGAAAAAAACCAAGAATCAATGTCAAAAATAATTTTAAAAGTTTCTTTCAAGTTTCTTTCAACATATAAAAAACAAGGTGAAAGTCAAGGAAACAATCAGTCCACTAAAGGGAGAAGGTGGCACGGAGGTAACAGGCAGCAGAAATGGGAACGATTAAATTCATTCTTTGCATCTGTCTTTACACAAAATGAAAAAAATAGTCCAATTTAACAAAAACAGTACTATAAAAGACTCCCTCAAACGCTTCCCCAGATACCTCTCCAGATGTCAGCTCGGAGGAAGATCTGAGCACGTCAAGAGGGGAGTTGGTCAATGGCTCCAAACAGCCGTCTGAGGGTGATTTGGCTGAAGTGTGCAACTACAGCCAATCAGTGATGAGGAAGAGGAATTGCCTTCGGCACCTGATGCAAGAACACATAGGGCAGAGAAAAGGCAGGAGCAGCTAAGGCAGCAAGGAGGCAGCCTCACCTATTTCGATGGGGTGCACTAAAAGTTGGCTATTTAGCACAGCAGACAGATGGAGAAATGCTGGGAACAATATGTTTGTTTTCTTGCTGTGTGTCCTTGCCTTGAACTTTGTATTCCGTCTCTTCAGCTGTTTGCCTTGCCTTGCCTTTGCCTTGGAAACTTGCTTTTACCTAGTGGACAGGACTTGCCTTTGCCTTGAGGAGTAGTGTTGGCTTCATTTGAGTAGCCTGTGGAACTCATTGGGGTTGAGCTGGTGAAAGCTGCAGAATACCAATTCAGGATCGGAAGCCTTAATAAAGACTCCTGTTGTATGTGCATGTGTATGTGACAGCATAAGACAGCATAAGATTAGGAATACAAGTCAAAATAGGCAAGAAAATAGTAAGAAAACACTTATCCAATATTCCACACTTGGAATATTGCATCCAGTTTTGCTCACCATGATTCAAAAAAGATGGCAAGACTAAAGGTGCAGACAAGAGCAACAAAGATGATTAGTTGCTGGAGGCAAACCATAGTATAAAAATTTAAATGAAATAGGTATGTCTAGTCTAAAGAAGAGAAGGACTAGGGGTGACTTGAAAGCAGTCTTCTAATATTTGAGGGGCTGTGACAGATAGGAGTTGGTCAACCTATTCTCCAAAACACTTGAAGGTAGGTCAAGAAGTAACAGATGGAAACCTACAAACTGCTCACAATTCAAATCAACCGCACAGTCAACCAGCAATGGTACCAACCCTCAACCAACCCATGCAACCCTCCCCAACCAGCACTTCACCTCCTAGTGACCCTCAGCTGACATGACCTCCCTATCACAAAACCCATTACATGACCTTCACCTGATGTAACCCACACCTGACCCATCACAAGACCCTCACCTGACGTGATCTCCCCATCATAAGACCTACTGACCACACAAAGCCACAAGCTCGGAGAATGAACCTCAACACTCTATACTATAGGATACATTGGAAGACTTAGATGGTATGGATACATTGTACACAGTAAAGACTCAGCTATATGAGGCTGTCTGCCTTAACTGACAAGACTATATTAAAGTCTCAGATAAAGGTATTTCCTAGCCTTAAAGCAGATATTACTTATTGAACGTGTGATTCTTTGTGTGCAAACATATCTTCTACTATTGATCTATGAATGCCTTATGAACAGAAAGGCAGATGTAAATCAAAATAATATATAAGGAGCCATGATAGCGCAGAGGTTAGAATGCAGTATTGCAGGCTAACTCTGCTCGCTGCCAGGAGTTCAGTTCTGACCTGCTCAAGGTTGACTCAGCCTTCCATCCTTCCAAGTTTGGTAAAATGAGAACCCAGATTTTTGGGGACAATATGTTGACTCTGTAAACCACTTAGAGAGTGCTATAAAGTACTATGAATTGGTATATAAATCTAAATGCTTTTGCTATCATAATAATAAATGAATTCTGCTATATATCACAGTAACTTTGGTTTGAGTTCTGTTTCCTGTTGGATATCAATATCATTACAGAATCTTAATATAAAGAGTTTGCATGTGAGAAACTAATGTAGAATATGAAATAATTTCTAATTGAAAAACTGAAGGTAAAATAAAAGTAGAACAGGAGAAATAAAAATAGCAATCTTCTAAATATTGTCATCTATCATCCCGATCAAGGTACATAAATGGTCACATTAAAGCCAGTTGCTATATCTACTTCAGGCTGGATATAGCATCAACAAGGTTGAATTAGTTACCTTTGATGTTAATAATAGAATAACTGTGTTAATAAAACTGGAAATACAAGATATGCAATATCTGTTTTTCAGATCCCACCTCCCCATTTCCAGAGACCTAGTGCTTCATTATTACGTGCCCAGAAAGTAGATACTTTAAGGTGTGAAATTCAGGAGAAATATGAATCAGATTTCCAGAAAGCTCTAGTAAGCATCAAAGAGCGAGTGAAAGAAATTGAAGGGCCAGACATCAAAGAAACCCTCCAAGACCAGATCCGCCAGTGGTTTATTGAATGCCGGTGAGATACCATTCTTTATTTCCCTAACCTCTCCCTATCTGTAACCACAGAAACCAAAACAGTCTGTAAACATCATTTCTTTAAGACGGTTGGAATCAAGGCTGCTTACTACAGAGAGCAGTTTTAAACAAACCAAAAAAAATATGGAAATCACAAGTTGAATCATCATTTCTCTAATCACTTTTACCACAAATTCATGGATTTGGAGTACAATATCATATATTGTTGGAGTTCTGATACAGAAATGTGTAACAACTTGTCTTTACTTATACATAGAGTTATCTTGCACAAAATTCTTTGTAAAGAGGTCATTGCAGTAATCTGTTTCCCTCTGTATATCATTATTGTCATTGATACTGATATTTATCAACAAATATTAATTTATAAATTTGTAAGTTAGCTTATATTATAACTAGAACTGACTAAACAATAATTTCAGAACATTTTCATGGAATTGTGTTTAATTCATTGTGTTTGATACTAGTTGAGAATAATGAGACATACCCCAGTTTTTCTTTTCTGTATTTTCAATTAAAAGTCACTTTGCCACCTCTTGGGAAAACTTTGTCCATCACCAGACTAGACTGTCTGGCTTTCACTAAGGTGACATTTTCCTTCTGTGCTTTCATGAAAGAGTTCAGTCATGGTTCCGATAGATGAAACCCTTTGAAAGAACTTTGAAGCATTGTTTACCTTAAAGAATCTTTTTATTCGGGAAACAAAGTATCGGCACTAGATAGTTGAACCCAAAAACTAAATTCCCTTCCCCCGATACAAAGTAACAAAGTGCAATTCCTACCCCCAATAAACTGTCATAAATCACATTCCCCAATTAGCTTAAAGCGTGGGCTTTCTCCTTAGCTCCACAGCCTGCCAAAACGTTATCAGCTTGTCCTTGGGTTCCCACCACAGCGTTATGTTATGGCTAGCTGAGCTTACATTCCAATCCCCTTCCCTCTCTCTGCTGCACCTTTCTAAAGTAAGAAAAAGCATGTTAAAGGAATAGAGAAAATGGCTGCATTTTCATCAGTTGTCAAAGTGGGAACATCCAATGTGAGCAGCATTGACATCCCACAACAGCAATAGCAATAGCACTTAGACTTATATACTGCTCCATAGTGCTTTACAGCACTTTCTGAGTGGATTACAAATGTCAGCATATTGTCCCCAACAATCTGGATCCTCATTTTACTGACCCTGGAAGGATGGAAGACTGAGCCAACCTTGAGCTGATCAAGATCGAACTCCAGGCTAGAGTCCAGTGGGTAGAGTCCAGTGGGTAGAGTCAGTCTGCAATATTGCATTCTAATCACCACCTATTGCATTCTAATCACTTTGCCACCATGGCTTCTCCCAATGATGGACAGGTTCTGCTTTTTGACCAAGGAAAGCTCAATATTAACCCCAAATATCTGCATGATGTCCATGCATACTTTGGTCTCATCATCTTCTCTGAACTGGCTGTTGTCCTTATTCTCTTCCAGAGAAACATGAAACACCCGGGTAATGACAGAGAGTTTGACAAACTAAATTTAGTTCCACACTACTGTGAACTCACTGGATTATTCTTCCAGGGCCCCCTATTTGAAGAGCAACAGGAAAATTTTCAAGTAGGTAGGAATGTAGGCCTCATCTTCTGGGACACCATCTCATGTTTCTTCATCCTTCAGACTGTTGCAGTTCTCAGCAAAGCTCTCAGGTGTTAACACTGCTAGCAAACTCATTGCTTCAAGCCCAGGTTTGCATATTTCTGATATTCCACTGCAAAATGGTTAAATGCTGGAAAAACCTGTCACAAGCAAGGTTGCCTGTGACACTTCAGTGTGACAGCAACTTTGCTTCTGTGCTCAGTATGGTGGTGATGGTAATAGTGGCAGCAACCCCTGCTGGAGTCCAGAAGAAAAGAATGTGTGAGGTAGTGGCAACAGCAGCCACTCCATTACCAACAGTGTTGCCACTTTTGCTGCTGCTACTGTCACAACTCTCCACCCCCTGTCATTACCCCAGGCCGACTCCTAAGCTGACAGAGACCAATTTAGTACTTGGATGAGAAGAGCATCAGGAAATCTCAAGTTTAGCCAGAGTATTATCAATTTTTGATAACAACAGCATAAAGCAATGGCAAAAACGTCTCTATATGAAGTCACCATGGCATAGAACAGAACAGGAAACATTTTGTAAAACAAATTGACCTGGTTCTCATGACATTTTAAACAGATAAATTTAAGACACACCCTGGTCATTCCTGGCTCAGGATCCAGTTAATGCAAAATTACCCCATGTTAGTTTTTGTTACAGATAGTCCTTGACTTACAACTATTCATTTTAAAGTCCAGGAAAATGGAAATCTGGGGGCGGGGCCCACTGTCAAGCCGACTGGTTGTGTTGGAAGGTTTGCCGAAATACATAACCACTTTGCCAGCTGCTTGGGCTGGTTTTTCGGAGCTGCGGTTCCTCGGAGGGGAGCCAAGAAGGAAGGATGACCTGCAGTGCAATCCAGGTGGCGACTGGAGCGCGACGGCAGGGAAGAGCCTGGCAGACTGAGTGGGGAAGAAGACGGCCTTTAATGGCCGACATAGAGGCTTGACAGAAGGACAACGCAGGCAGTGAAGTAGCTGAACAACAGGTGACTGGAACTGGCCGAGAATTGGTTCTGACGGAGGAACCGGAGGAAACTGGAAAGGAAGAGCCCTTTGGAAGTTTTCCCCTGGTAGCACAAGTCAGGAGGATCCCAGGAAAAAAAGGGGGGAGTGTTTTTTTATTTCTCCCCCTGCGAAAGCGGCGAGAAAGACTTGTTTGGGAAAACATTTTTAAAAGTCCCAAAATTGAACTTGGAATGAGATAGAGACACTCTAGCAGGGAAAGAACAGCGATAATGAGAAGGGAACCTAGACCGGAGAGCTTTGAGGACTATATGAGATCGAATTGGCAGTAGAAGAGAAAAAAAGAAGGTGATTTGGAAGGACGGGCTGACATCTTGAAAGGACATTTTGAAAGTGACAGCGCACTCTTTATGTGGAGCTGAAGTTTAAAAAAAAGCCAAGAGGGACATCTTGTGGCTGAAATAGGAACCTTTTCTTTTTTTTCCCCTTTTTTTCCCCTCTCCTTGGAACTCATTGATATTGGACGCATCTTCTTGGAAGTCTTTCTTTTACTTTCTGTGGGATTATCGATAGACTTTGGATACAAAGGACTGTTTGGAGTAATAGATAAGATCTAATTGTGGCCGTGGTTCAAATAGTTTAGGCTGTGTACTTATATACATTATTGCTATTATAATTAAAAAATAGTGAATTTGTGCCCAGAAATTAATACTTAAAATTATAGATATTTTATCTACTGCTATTATCTTATATTGTTATTTGTACTGTTAATACTACTGTTATTTTAGGTATAATTAATCTAGGTAGGTTATTCTATTGATTGAAGTGTGGAATTCAAAATGATGAGTATTCCGAACCTATCCAAGGTAGGGATAGCAAAGAAGGGGGCACAGATTGCCTCAACTATCTCAAGTCCATCGAGCCAAAAATCAATTGATGAGCTTCTGCAAAGAGAAAAGTCTAATTCATTTAAAGACCTACAGGCCATGTTACAAGCGATGCAGGAGGCCATGGCTAGAAATCATGAAGAGCTGAGGAAAGAGATTGGAGAGGTGAGGAACAACACAAGCGATCTCAAAGAATGGATGCAAGTAATGGATGGAAGATTGGAATCGTTCCAACAGCAGATGGCAAATAATGAACAGAAATTACAAAAGATGGAGAAAAGGATGGAAAAGGAAGAAAAAAGAGTAGAGGAAATAAATGAGAAGCTAACCAGAGCGAATAAAGAACTAGAAGCAACAGTTATCGCCCTAGAATCTGAAAAAGCTGACCGATACTTACGGTTTCAGAACATAAGAGAGGACAGGGGAGAGGATCTATTGGAAATGATGGCAGATTTACTAGCAAAAGCTCTGGGAATAGTGAAAGAAAAAATGCTGAGTGAAATGGATGAGGTCTATCAGATCCACACAAACTACGCAAGACGACATAACCTGCCTAAAGAGATTCATGTTAGGTTCGTTAAAAAGTCGATTAGGGATGAGATCCTCCACAGAGCGAGAGATGAGCCATTAGAATGCAGGGGGAAACAGCTGATTGTCTTAAAGCAGGTGCCGAAAAGAGTTAGGGATCTATGAGGACCCTACCACTTCTTGACAACGAAACTGACTAGATATAATGTTAACTTTCGATGGTTGATCGCAGAGGGAATACTGATTTTGTGGCAGGACAAGAAGATTAGAATAGATACTCCAGATAAGGCGGAGGAATTTTATAAGCAAAACTTTAGCAGTGAAGAAGAACTAGAGAGAGATGTTGAAGAAGTGAGGGAGTTAAGATTGGCTAGAGTAGAAGAGGAGGGACAACAGGGGAAAATGAGAAGAGAGAAGAGAGAGGAAAAGGTAAACTATGAAAGGGAACAACAAGAGCTGAGAGAGGAGCTAAAGGAGACTAGAATAACGAAGGGTATAAAAACTAGATATAAGTAGAAACATGATGGGAGAACTCCAAATCCTATCTTTGAATATTAATGGCCTAAACTCTCCTCAAAAAAGGAAAAAAAACTTTTAATAAATTGATTAGAAGAAATTTAGATGTTATAGTTATTCAAGAGACTCACATTAAGGAACAGCATAGACAGGTGTTGGAATGCCCTAAAATTGGGAAGATGTTTGCATCTTTATCACAGCACAGAAAACGAGGAGTAGTGATATATATCAGAGAGTCAATCTTAGCCAAGCAAATCTATAAAGATACAGAAGGCAGGATTTTGGTAGTGGAGATGACAATTAGCCAAAAATGGATAATAGTAGTAGGAATCTATGCCCCAAGATGTACTATTGGTTAGACTCGAGGAGAAAAAGTCAGAATAAAGAAAGCTCGTCTAGAAGAGAGAAAGTGTAGATTTTCAACCTCAAAGTGAACATAAGATAGAAATCAGAAAGAATATGAAAT